CCCTCTCTCTCTCTGTTTCTATCTCTTTTTCTCTTTCTTTTTCTTCTTCTTTCTCTGGCAACGGTACATATACAGCGATAGCATGTGAGATCAGTTTGAAAACATTACATGGATTTTTTTTCTTAGATGTGTGAAACCCGATTAATTTTGTTTTATCCCGGAAAAACACCTATTTCAGACGGTGCCCAAAGAAGTAAACTTTTAAAAACTCTTCTGTTTGGATGCAAGCATGCTTTTTATAAACTCTATACTTAACTTTGTTGATGACCAAAAAAAGAGGGTGTTTCGTTAGTAAATTGGTATCATGCTGGATAACCGAGCAGAGATGGCTTTGGTTCGAATGCTAAACGTGATGTTGTGAACTTGGCTTGTTTTGGGGAGTTTTTTTAAGGCTTTCCTCCTGAGAAAGCCTAACTCTCCACCCATTTGGCTCGGTCCTGTCGGAGACAGAAGTTAAATTCGGAGATCCTGCCACTTGAATAACTTTACAGTGTTGAAAGGGGCGGTTAATTTTTACAAAGCACAATACAATGCAATGCACCAAAAAAAAGGGAATTACTAGTTTTCCTTTACTGTATGCCCATTTTAAAAGAAAAGAACAATCACTATGCCGAGGAAGCAATCATAATGATTCGCCCTGGTTTAACTAAAAAGCAATAACGAAGTGAAAAGTTCATCGAGCACGGAACGCGTTTCCCATCAACATTCCATGAGGTTAGAAATCTATACGGTCGACATACTGTTATACATAATGTAATTAAACTATTCGCAGGAGCTCTTCGCCATAGTGCTGAGTCAGCAAGGTTGTTTTTTTTAAAGTAGCAACTTCATATCATAAAGTTGAGAACACACCTGGCTCACTATAATCAGGTCTGTTCGACTGGACCAAATCAGAAAACGTCACTGGTAAAAAGCTCCAATACCCAAAGGAACAGGAATGCTCCAAACCATGCGACCCAGGAAATAAAACGCGTGTTTTCTATCTTTGTTTTATTTAAGCCATGCTTCAGTTTTTCTAGTTTTAGTAAGTTTTTCGGCACTTACAACACAAATGGGTCATATATGTGTCGAAGACTAGCGGTGCTACTAGACAGAAACATACAAAGAAAAATAAACGAGGACAGACATAAGGACAATAGATGCTCGGTAGGTAAGAAGGAGAAAGCCATGCTAATCATCCACGTTTCATATAATTTTACGCTGGTATAGAAATAGGCATGTAACGCCAAAGGTTCTACATGCAGCTCTTGCATATTAGCAAATTGACATAGAGAGGTGAGCTGAATCATTTTTTAGCACTTTATCTGTCACAAAACGCAGGGAAAAGGATATGGAACATGCGCACCTGCAAGACTGAAGACATGATTCAGATACACTTGCCTCCATGGACTTGGGAGACTCAAATCCGAACAAGACTTTTCGTGGATCGGTCATTGGCATCAGCTGAGTAGCAGTTATGCGCTTCGCCGTGGCACATAGAAGACAAATCAACACATTTCTTATATTCGTAGGTGTACAACCATTAAGTTTTTATAGTGTCGTCTTCAATCACGTTATAGATAATTAATATGGGTTTCTCAACCTATTACAGATGGTATAGGATAGGTTAATTTCAAAAGAAGGACACTCGAACCACTCGGCGAGTATGACAAATTAATTAGCCAACAGTACCACAGTGGCAATAAGAAGCCCGATAGATCATGGGTTGGTAGTGCAAGTCGTGATATGATCTGGCACAGCACTTAACACAGCGTGACTTTCCAGTTTACAGACCACGAGTTTGGCACGATTCAGAACGCGTGGGAGACAGGAGAAAGGCTGAATCCCAATTTCTCTCTCTCTCTCTCTCTCTCTCTCTCTCTATATATA